CCTAACTATATGCTTTAGCAAAAAGAAAAGTTTGAAGCCTAATCTTGAAAGTAGAGATAGTGTCTGTCTCCTGAATCCAAACTGGAAGCTGGTTCCACAGAAGAGGGGCCTGAAAACTGAAGGCTCTGCCTCCCATTCTACTTTTAAATACTCTAGGAACAACAAGTAGGCCTGCAGAGCGAGAGCGAAGTGCTCTAATAGGGTGATATGGTACTACAAGGTCATTAAGATAAGATGGGGCCTGATTATTTAAGACCTTGTATGTGAGGAGCAGGATTTTGAATTCTGGATTTAACAGGAAGCCAAACAGGAGAAATATGCTCTCTTTCTAGTCCCTGTCAGGACTCTTGCTGCAGCACTTTGGATTAGCTGAAGGCTTTTCAGCGAGTTTTTAGGACTTCCTGATAATAATGAATTACAGTCGTCCAGCCTGGAAGTAATAAATGCATGAACTAGTTTTTCAGCGTCACTCTGAGATAGGATATTTCTAACTTTAGAGATGTTGCACAAATGGAAGAAAGCAGTCTTACATATTTGTTTAATATGTGCGTTGAAGGACATGTCCTGGTCAAAAATGACTCCAAGGTTCCTCACAGCGTTACTGGAGGCCAAGGTAATGCCATCCAGGGTAAGAATCTGGTTAGATACCATATTTCTAGGCTTTTCAGGGCCGAGTACAAATACCTCAGTTTGATCTGAATTAAGAAGCAGAAAGTTAGCGGCCATCCAGGTCTTTATGTCTTTAAGACATTCCTGCAGTTTAATCACAGCAAAACTAAAAACAGCACCTCAGCACAAAGGGCTCATATCTGCTGAATGTCAAACACAGAAGTGGAGGGGTAATGATTTGGGTTTGTTTTGCAGCCACGGGACTTGGTCTCTTTGAAATCATTGAGTCGACCGTAAAGTCCACTGTGTACCAAACTATTCTTGAGTCAAATGTGAGACCATCTGTCCAAGAGCTAAAGCTTGGACAGATGGTGTCCAAGCTTTAGCTTAAACTGAATCTGCTTTTTCAAATAGCTGCATCTATTCTTTGGATGTCTTGAAGCACTGACCCTTTTCCTTTCTGGTCTATGAGACCTTAATACCTAACACAAAGCAACCATGACTCTTTCAACATGGAGCTTATGTCGTTGCATGCGTCTTCTCTCACTGTTTCATTTTGAAGGTGTCAACAGACAAAATCTCAGTGAGTGTTTCACACAAAAATAAGTCAGGAAAAGTAACCATCTTTTTGTGAATCTTCTCACATTTGGTGTAAGTCATCTTGAGACCCTTTAGATTAATCTTGTCATCTTTTACACGTTTGAAGCAGAATCTCAGCTCGGGAATAAATGAGCAACTGAGAGGTTATAGGAAACATTTTGATGTAAAATAAAACTGGAACATAAAATTATAATGTGGTTATGCAATATCACTCTGTCTTTTTAAATATTACTTGTTCTTGTGTCCTATGCTATCAAATTATGTGGTAACACATTGAACCATATGACACATTGCACTGTGATGTAATATATTGCATTATCTTGTGTCATCTTGTATCTTTTTATATTCTATATGAATCAACGCATCTCTCTTTCATGCAGAGAATGTCTGAGCTAATTAGTTCAACAAGGCAGTTTTGTAAATCCAGGCCAAAAACATAAAAGAGGACACATGCTGTTCCCATCGCTTTTAAGGAGGCTATTCGGATTTTTTTCTCTTTTTTTAAAGATCATCTTCTAATTGTTGTACTTTGTGTTGTTTTTTCACATACATTTCTTATATTTAAACTAGAGTTTATACTAGAATAAGCCTATAAAAAGATGGCTCCTGACTTGATTCCAGCTTCTAGCACATAGGTGTCAAACTCTGGCCCGTGGGCCAAATTTGGCCCGCAGCCTAATTACATTTGGCCCGCGAAGCCATACCAAATTACTATTAGAGCTGGCCTACTGGTATTATACAGCTAATATATATATTGTTTAGTATTAAGCTTTGCTTGTTCTATATTCAGTTTTTCAGCAAAACGTGTTTGAGCCCATAAGAAAAGATTCATTCTTATATCTGGAGGAAGATTTTTTTTTCAATATTGAATTTTGGCCCACTGTGTATTTGAGTTTGACACCCCTGTTCTAGCAAATCCATCCCCTGTGAGGAGCTTTAGTAGCTCATGTTGCGATGAGAAATAAAATATATATATTCCTGTGCTTAAATGGGATATTCAAAAATCTACTTTTTGATATGTTTAGATACCTGCAAATACGAAGTTTTGCAAAAACATTGTTTCCTTCTTTCCCCTTACCTACCTCCTAAAAATCAAGTGGATACCATTTTGGAAATGGATCCTTTTGGCAAAAGGAGAATCGCCGTCATATACAAGCTGATACAGAGCTTAAGGCCTATTACTTGGGAAAAACTAAAAATAATTGGGAAAAAGACATTGGGGTGGATTTATCTGATGATGAGTGGAGATCTTGTTTGAATCGTATACATACTTCCTCCCTTTGCATTCACCATGGTTTAATTCAGTTTAAAATTCTTCCTCGTCTTCATTATACAAGAGAGAGGCTTTCAAAGTTTTTCCCAGAAGCCGATCCTGCCTGTCCCAGGTGTGGACATAATCCAGCAAATGAGGGTCACATGATGTGGTCTTGTCTGAACCTGGATAATTACTGGGGAAATATATATAAGTATTATCTCATATCAGTGCGCAGAACTTAATGCTTGATTTCCGCATTGGCATTTTCGGAGTTATGCCATCTCAATACAAAATTAGTAAATCTCAGGAAAATGCCATAGCATTTGCTACATTGCTTGCCCGTAGACTTATTCTATTCCACTGGAAGTCTGATAAGGCTCCTTCATACGTACAATGGTTAAAGGAGGTGCTTTTTTTTTTTACCACTGGAAAAACTTAGATACAGAGTTCTCTCATCACAACAAAAATTCTCTGCGACTTGGAACCCATTTATTGACTATATAAAAACGTATTTTCCAGATGTGTGACATACATTTTTTGTTTGTTTTGTTCTGTTTCTTTTTACATGAGCCTCGGGTGGGGAGGGAGGGGTTTCTTTTTGTTGTTGTTTTGTTGTTTTTTGTTTTTTGTTTTTTTGTGTATAATCGCAACATTTTCATTATGTATTGTGACCATGATTTGTGAAATTTTTTTTATTTAAATAGAATTTAAAAAAACAAACAAAACTACTTTACTAATAAAAATTGCACCAAACAATTCATTTTTGTCTTTTATCACTGACATAAGGACATAAGCAAGAAAACATTTAGGTTTCTTCAAATAACTCAAAAACCATTTTCTGAAATCACTCCTTCTGTTCCTTCAGTTTATAATGTGCAGCACAAGATTCATTTCAAATACAAAAGGCTTTCACTCCCTCGACATATTTAATTCATGATATAAAGCCAGTACGTGACTACAGCCAAAATTACATTTCCTTTTCTGACTGTCTAAGTATATACAGATACACTTTCAGAAAAAAGCACCTTATTCAACACACTGTCAGTAGGGTGGTGCCATCTAAGGTTTTCCAACAAGGGGAACTTATTTGTAACATTGTGCATTCGGAAGAAGGCTGGTAGACCTCTGGAACTTTAAGGAAAAAAATCTAAAGAAATACCAATTCAGTTATTTATATATTAATTGATATATTTGGAAAGATTGCACAGTGCTTACTAACTAAAGCTCTATCTCACACCTGCAGAAATCATTGTCTTTACATTGTGGTAGGAAACCAGTGGACCCATCAGGTAGAGGGAGACACAAAATGAAATATATGTAAATGTATTGAATATTTTTATTTACTGTAAAAACCCAGGTAAAGTTAAACGTTTAGAATATAATCAGAATATTGCCTCATTTGTTTTTCTATTTTACCAAATGCCTCACATCTAGAACAAAACAGTGCAACACGCTTCTTTTATTTCTTGAGGAGATACCGGATGCTTTATCAGTTACATCTTGCTAGTACAGTTCCTTCGGCTTTAATTGTTCATGGATTAAACAAGGTTCTGGAAACATCCCTAAGAGGGTTTGGTCCATATTGATTGTAGTTGTAGATTTGTCATCTACACATCCATGATGTAAATCTCCCACTCCACCATATCCCAAAGATGCTCTGTTGGATTAAGATTGGTTTGAGATTGACTGCAGAGGGCATTTGAGTGCAGTGAACTCATTGTCAAACTCAAGAAACCAGTAGGAGAGTATTTGAGTTTTGAGACATTGTACAGCCATCAGAAGATGGGTACACTGTGGTCATAAAGGGATGACATGGTCAGCAACAATACTGTGGTGTTTAAACAATGCTCAGTTGGTGCCATGGAGCCCATGGTGTGTCAAAATGAGACCCCCTATGGCATTATACCAGAAACAGTGAGCCAAAACTGGATGGATTCATGTTTCCCAGTCTTAGTTGACATTAATGACACCTAGCGTGGTCTTCTGTTGCTGTTCATCTGATTTAAGGTTCAACAAGGAACAGAGGTGCTCTTCTGCATACCTTGGTGGCAACGAGTGGTTATTTGAGTGGCTGTTGTCTTGTTATCGCCTCACAGAAATCGAGCCATTCTCCTCTGGCATCAACACATTTTCACCCAGAGAACGGCAGAAATGCTCAGAGCCGCCCATCCGGCATGGAATCAATTATTGCCCAGCTGATGCTTTAATATATCTAACTAAACTAATTTCTGAGAGCTTTGGAGAAACATGGGGGACAGATGTTTTTTTTGCCTGTTTTTTCTTAATCATTTGAAGTATTTTTTAAAAAAAATAAATTCACATGTCTATAACACCAGAGATTAATACATGTGAATTTATATTGACAGAGAAACGGTGCAGGAGTATTACTATTTAGAAAAGGCTGACGGAGGAAAGTCGGGAGGTGGAGTTGTTTAGGACCATGAGGAGCGCGCTGTTGAATGAGGGCTTCCAGGAGAGAACGGGAGAAGAGTAGTGGAGTGTCGTTTTCTTTAGCTGCGCGGTGATCCCAGTAATGCCGCCGCTCAAGTGTTGCATGCTGAAGAGTCCCGACGCCTAGCATGAAGAGCCGACAAAAGGGGAAATGAAGATGAAGATAAAAGTGGTAATTATGAATGAAAGCCGTCGGAAGTATCACTGTAATATTCCGCTGTGGGGAGCTTTTATATATATATATTTCTGCCTCTCAGAAGTGGAGTTGCAGACTGAGCTCTTTCACCGAATGTGACCCAGTTGCACTTTGCCACATACGCGTAATATTCACAGAGAATAATCCTACAACAGCTCGGCCGTTTAAAGTTTTTTTTCCCTGCGTGGGTCGGGAGTGGGGATGGGGTTAAATATGACACGTCTGAACTGAGCAACCTAACAGTATTTTTGCAGCCTCGTTTTAAAACGTGTTTCCTTGTTGACAGAGCATGTTGAGCGCATTTGAGAAGAATAGCTGGCATTACGTTTTGAGCCTTGCATTTGTTATGTTGCATTTGTTTTGAAAGCTGGCAGTTAATTAGTCAAAAAGAAAGAAAGAACGAAAAACAATCCTGACCAAAGGTGCAGATTTCATCCTCAAGCTTGTGGCTGTGTCGGTCCTGAACTGGCTGAATCATGCTCTGGCGTGATGTTGAGATTTGTCTTTCTGGTGTTTCACGTGTCCCTGCAGTGCCAAGGGGTTGGTGGCATCATCATTGTTACCATGGTTACCGGCTTTTTGTTGGTGTACAACAGCAGCTCTGGTGACAGATCAGCTTCCTCATCAAGTTCTTCGTCCTCATCGTCCTCTTACCGTTTGGATGCGCGAGTTCAGTCCACTAAAGTACCGGACAGATCACAGAGACTCCAAACAACATCTCTGGAGGGGTACTCAGGTGTCATGGATCATAAGGTAAATACGGACCATCTGTTCCCTGTGAACCAAGTCAAGTCCTGTTATGGGCGGTAATGATGCTGCACCTGGTTCTTTGAAACTCCAGAGCACTTGCATGCATATTACAAACAGAGATATTATGGTCCACATTTGTTTTTGTCTTGTTTTTTATAAAAGCTGCTTAGGAATTGAAACTGTGCAGGATATAGATCATCTCAGATGTTTAGCAGTAATGTTATCTCACCTGAAAATCAATAATGAAACTGTTTCCATTTTCAAAGATATCAAAGATATAACATAACACACAATAGCAGTGTTTGTTTGGAGTGTTTGGGTCCTTGCCAGTGCATTAGGTGTCTGCACAGAGAGGAGGAGGAGGAGGAGGTTTAGTCCTGGAAAATATATGTTTGAAGGTGAAGTGAAGTGTCTGGTGGCTAAATGTGTTTTGATTTAGGCACATGGATGCACAGAAACCAGTGACACGACAGAAACTCATGGGTCATAACATACCGCAGAGTGACAATGTTTGGAAAAGAGCAAGAAATTCGAATTCAGCATCTTTATGACGTTTTTTGACAAATTAACAGTTCTCCAACCATCTCCATCAGACTACACAAAGGAAGGTGAATTCACCCTGTGCATTTGGACATCTTTGTAATCGGATGGTCATATTATAAACATCATCAGAAAGCACATTGATTGCGCTGATTGCTTTGTTTTTGTTGTTTTTTTAGCAGCTGTACCTAATTTGTATTCTGCTGTCATCCAGGTAAAGCAGAGAGTAGCATGCAGAGTTCAGGTGTCCACTAAAAATGTGTTTTTTTAAAATCCCCCCCAGTGACTGAAAACTCATTTGTGTATTTAATTTTTGTACTACTTTATGTGCCAGACAGTTTTCCTTTTTCCTTTTTGCAGCAGCAGCAGCAGCAGCAGCGAGGTCTTTTCGTTTGAACTTTTCACAACAATAAAAAAGTTCTAAAAACCAGTTAATTAAAATTGCTTAACACTTTCCATTAAGAAAGCAGCACGAGTGTCACAGTACGGCTGTGTGCAGGCAGGAGAGGACCCAAACGCAAACTCACAGAGACAAAAGGTAAACTCAAAAAACACAGCTTTATTGCTGGCGTGGGACACGAAAAACAATACAAAATAAACTAAACTGGGAAAACTAAAGCACAGGGAAACAATCACACAGCTATGATGGCGACTATGACACTGACAAAGAGAAACACAGGGCTTAAATACACAGAGGGATAACGAGGGAATGAGACACAGAAGGAGGGCACAGCTGGGAGAAATCAGGACTGGATGAGACAGAGATGCAAAACTAGAAACACTCACATGAGGCATGGACCTTCAAAGTAAAACAGGAAGTATCACACAGAGACGCGAACTAGACAGTGGAGACAGCAACTAAGAAACAGAGACAAACCATAAGGCAGAGGTCTAAGAACCAAAATACACAGAGGGAAATACTCAGCTTTGAACACAAGAGACTAGACTAGAGGGAGTAACAAAAGACCAACCATGAGAACATAATGCACAATGCAGGGTGACAGAAAACAAGAAACTCAAACATGCAAAGACACACCATAAACAGAACAGAGGGGGCACAGAGAGACATGAAGGGCAGGGGAGACTTAACATGGGTTGAAACACAAGGGGGAACTAATAAGCAAATCAACATAGGAGGCCTAATGAGCTAAACATACTATAAACATCAAAATGAACTAAAACTCAAAACACTGGGTCCTAAGACCCAGGATCGTGACAGAGAGTCTATTAAAGGTTTATTTTGCCCTCAAAGGCTTTTATAATACCATCTCATCTCTTAAGCATGACCTCAAAGTTCTCTTTATAGTTCACTCTGTTGCTTAATTCATAATTAATGTCTTCGGCATAAAATATTTAGTGACAAAAGCACTTAAAACAGGGTGCATTTCAACTATAATGTCTACTCAAGATATGACCACTGTAATCTTTTGGTCGTGTAAGCGGCACCTTCAACAGTAATATAGTACAAAGGCCCGATTCTCTGACCCACTGCATTATCACAGGCTCGTCTTTGAGATAGATGGAGCATTCACACAGCATTACGTCTCCCCTCGCTGAGAACGATATACAGCAGGACACAGCAGAGTGGAAAGCATGCTGCAATGCTCAGGCAGCACTGGACAGGAACGGATTTGGAGAAAAAAAGTTTTGCTTAGTGTTCACCTTACACTGCTCAGCCATCAATGAACGAGAGTGTGAGAGTCATGCTGCTCTGAAGAGAGGATCCTGCTTAGGCCTGTTGGATTTGTCTCTGTGCTGTCTTGAGTAAGCTTGATTCTAAGATCAGCGCTCAGATTTTGCAGGTAGTCTTAGGAGAAATGAACGCAAGCTGCTTCACTTTGGACTTTGCGCGTGGGCACTTTATTATTCATGGTCTCTCCCGTTCATCCAACCCCTCCTAGCTGACAGGTGATTTGTGATGGATCCACACTGCGACAGTTTCATACTGCTTAGTGTCACTCTGTACCTCCCTCCCATTGGGGGAGATTCAAGCTCTGCTGCTGCTGCTGCTTCATCCTCTGTCAGAGCCCAAGAATGACTAACCAGAGCAGACCTGCTGCAGGATCTGTGGAGTGGGTGGATCCTTGCGTATAGTTCCTTTTAGGGTCATCTCAGGTCTGCTGCTGCTTCTAGTGGAGGGAATCTTGGCTTTGACACAAGTGTGTGTGCAGACACAGAGACACACACCATCACACAGCACGAGTACACTCACGCAGACACGCTGTTAAAATTTTATGCCCCCATCAGAGCCAGAGATGCTTGGGAATGTGAGGAAAGCTCTATCTGGTGTGCCTGCTGGACCCTGATTATTGCCTGTATTAACTTATGTGCATATCTTGTTCACATGGGCTGTGATTTCACTAAGGTGGGTGGTGGTCTGTGGCGGCTTTGCTCATTTATGCATCACCCAAGAGGTGGCAAAACACCCAGCACACATTAATCACTAAGACTGTGCTGCCTCATGTAGCAGAGGGTTATAGGCTTAACATTTGGCTTTCCTCTGTTCTCATTTCGTTGCTTAAATGTGTGAAAAGAAAATAGCAGCTTTGAACCCCACAAATCTCCGTACTGTGAGATCACACATCAGAGTTATGGTGCATATTTGTGTGGAATAGTTTCTCATTGTGTTTCTCTCTGTATGACTTTCGCAGCGTCTGCAAGTTTTCTTTTGGGGAGCTTTCTGCCTCTGGTATGTGTTTCTTTTCTTTGGCGTGTTGCAGTGATTAGAGCTGCTGACTTGAACAGATTCTTTCACACACACACAGGTTAACACACTCTCGCTCCATCTTCTGCTTGGCCCCTCATCTTTGCAGCCTCACTGATGTTTTGCCGATTCGAGTTAAAGAGATGTTGACCTTTGAAGAACTGTCAGCAGAGCCAATCTACATTGGCCTTTATAGTCTCTAATCACAAAGCCGGTGTGAAAGCACGAGTGCGGACTGTGTGCCAGCGCAACTTTATGATGTACCTACTTATTATGGGCAATGCCTCTTTGTGCTCTGACAGCTTTTAATGCAGCCAGCCTGGGGGGAATGGGTGCCATTATAATGCTTATTCTGTCTTTACCTGTCTGACGTTCAATTTAAAGCCGTCTCGTAGTGTACAAAGGCAGCTTATATTAACAGTCAGCGTGTGGAAAAAAGCAGGAACAAAATAAATTCAGCTCTTTGAGCTCTCTTATTGGATGACTTAGGATATACACATTTAAATTCAGCTCAAGGTAAGGGAGCACTCCTGGTAAAACAGGCGATGTTATCAGCTGTAACACTCAGAATGATAATACAACGCCTAATTTGTTGTCTAGTTTTTACTGAAAAATTAGGCGAATAGCAATAGTCAAGAGGAAATCGTAAACATCACCAGCAGGAAATGATTTTTTGTCTCTTCTCTCTCTTAGTTGACTCGAGCAGAAGAAGAAGAAGACAGGTGCTGTTATTGTCTTAACTATTTCCTCAAATTGAGAACAGATTTGGAATCGCGACCTGATTGTGTGTCATTGGCAGGAGCTTAATGAGATGTCTAGGGGAACTGTCGGGAGGATTTCATTGTAATTAATTGGTCTCTGGGAAAAGAAAGCAGCACTGATCGTGAATCCCTCGTGCCACAGAAGAGGGGCTTTTTCCATCTCCTCCTGCTCTCAGCTGAGCCACTATAGCCCAATTCTGTGCACTTTGGAAAGTATTCAGTGACAATGTTCAACATCTAAATGATTTTGATTCATTTCCAGAAAACGCATCTTGTTTTTTCCCCACTACTGCTCCTATCACAGGATAAGTCTTTCTATTGCTCACAATAATCAGAAATCCAATAAAAAAGTCTAAAACCAAATCAAGCAGTTATTGTCTGTGCATTCTTTCTGTGTATGCAGAGCTTTGTTATTATCTGAAAATGATTACAAACTAATTATTGAGGCACACTGTAGATAGCATGTTTCTACAGTTAAGCTTCCATAAGTGAACTTCAAATCTGCAGCTGAAAATAAAATAAATAAAGCCCCAATTATTGTTTCTGAAAATGTCTCTATGGAGACCACTGGGCTTGAGTCTAGAGTCAGCTGAGATACAGTATGGAGTGTGCCCACTCCACTACCTTCTAGCAGTCTCTGTAGACTAATACCATTATAACCAGTGCTAAACAGACACCAAAGCAAGTTACCTGGATATCTAACAGTCATATGAACAAGTGGACAAAAAATCTCTGATTGAAGGTAATTCAGTTTCGTAATGTCTTTGGCTAAAACATGCTCTTTTTCCAACCTTGACCCTACATGTTGATCATAAACATAACAGGTAGCTTTACCTAAATCCAAAAAAACAACTTAGTCCAAAAGATAAGTCAGAAACTGGTGGTGAGAGACAAGCAGGTATAAATCTTCAGGTTCCTTATCTGGGGTTTAATCTGTGGTTAATTACGACAGCAAGAGACGTTTTTTTCCCAGGTTTTCTTCATCAGGTCTGTCTGACCTCTAAATATCACATCCCACGACTTCTTCCTGCAAGTCTGTGCGCTGTAACCTTTTTTAACCGAGTAGGTTTGCAGACATGAATTTGGAGACTGGAGGCACAATAGAAGAAGCTCTTGTTCAATATCAAAGGTTGACTGATGGGGTTTGCTCTGAAAGCAATTATGATCTTGGGTTCCCCTGGGAAGTGTATAATCAGGATCATACTGATTAGTCTGGAGTCAGAGAGTGGGCGGTAATTGACTGGGACTGGAACCAGAGCCGTACTCCGAACTGCATCTTCTTGTCCTGCTGTTAACAATATGGACCTCATTAATCCAGTCAGCTTCATCATGTTTCAGTGAACAGCCTCGGTTGAAATTAGTGTCTTTTTAGGTCACGTTAATTCAGGAAAGTGTATTGATTTATAGGTTGTGCACTATTGATCAAGGTAGACAACCTTCTGTCTGCATAATAAAGTCTGAATATGTGTGCGTAGGAGTCAGCAGGTGTTAAAGTGATGGTTGTTTCACGAATCAAAGGACAAATCAAAGGTAATTCAAGGCTGATTATGAGTGAAAACTACTTGTAATGAATTCCATTCATTTATTTATCCAGTCACTAGTCTGTGGGTTGCACCTTCAGCTGCCTGGCCTCTGAAATATTCTGCTTGTGATTTTGAAAGCCAGTCTCACTGTGATACAGGATTTATAAGTGCCTATTTCCCAGCAACATCAAGCTGTCAGAAGCTCTGGGAGCTGAAGCTGGAACTTCAGCATCGCTGTCAAGGATACTTTTATTATTTTACAGGCACTTTAAACTATGACACCAGCCTGGCAACCTTCAATTGACTTTCACTTGTTTAACACACCTTCCTGACTTTTAACATTATTATAATTTGGATTATGCTTTGCGGTAATTGCTTGGACAGTGCTTAGGGGAAAATGCACTTTCTGTCTCTCTGTTGTCTGCAGAGAAAGAAAGACCTAAAAGGACTGTGATTCTTCCCAGCCAAGACGGGGAGGGTGTGTTTGTGCAACCAAGTGTGTAATTTGCTCCAACCTACCTGATATTGAGAGAGCGCGCACATCCCAACAGGGATGATTTTCAGGGGGGAAATCTGCTGGAGAATGGAAATGTGATGAGTGTTCCGAACAAAGACTTTGAGTGTGTTCGTTTGAAGGAATTCCAACTAGTTTTGGATCTAGATGTTTTTCAGACTGTTGCAAATTCTTGCCAGAGAAACATGATTTCATTACATATTTTGGGGCTACACTGAACTCACCACACAGATTTACAGACATCCCCAGACATTGCACTCATACACACATTTACGAAGAGACACACATGCACACATGGCAATCATTCAGCGTGGGGTCACAGAGATAGTGGGGGTGTATTATAAATATAGCTGTGGTAGCAGTGCAGCCTCTGGCGCTGGTAAAATCACCTGTCTGCACACACACACACACACACACACACACACACACACACACACACACACACACACACACACACACACACACACACACACACGTTCCCACCTCAGAACCTGATGGAGTGTGAAGTACCGAGCACAGTTCAGAATGCCGATGCAGCTCTCTATTAGGGTGGGGAATAATTCATGTGAAGAGTCTCTGGGTGTTTGCTGTCGGATCATTCAGTCTGAGCTCGCATTTTTCAAGTTTGAAAAACCTGGTTGGATGCCGCAACATGAATACCTGGTTCAATTCAAGCCCAAACAAGCACTCTTCACTCCAATGCTGCACAAAAAGCTTGCATGAACAGGATGTTGACCAGTGCATGTTGTCCCTGTTTTATGTTTTTTTTTATTTTAAGTGAAAACTGCTGAATGTGTGATGTTGATAGAAAATGAAAGCACTGTGTCAAATAGCCTCTGCTCTATACTGTCAACTGTTTAAATAACAGACAGAGTCGCCCAATACAAGTCTACCTGCTTGATTCAAGACCCGTCTGAATGCAGCCGAATCATAATCAATGATTGAAAGGGCTCTACACGAATTTGCTTTAAACTCCAGTGTTAGAATCCTCTTTGCTGATGCTTTATATCCTTCAAGCTTGCTTAAGCTTTTCGTGGTTGCCACATTTTAAAATCAAGCAGAGCATCTCAGAAAAAATAAGATTTGACTTGATAGTATCTCATTTCCCACATTTAAATACGTCAACAACTACTGAACGCAAATATTGTTGGTTTCTGGTTCTCAAAGGCTAAAAAACACTTTTTAACACACTTTTTATCTTCATGTGTTTAAGATACATTTTCAATCATGTAAGTAAAAATAATACAGTATCTTGCACATCAAGTTAGGACCTCGCTCTGAAGCTACATCTGGTTTTACGGAGTGCCAGAGAGATTTAAACTTATTTATCTGAAACTGTTAAGTCCCTCTGCGACTTGTAGTTGGATTTTTCTCTTCCACCACTTTGTCTCATTACATAATGTGAATGAAACTGCAACGATGTCTGACTTTTTAACTTTGAACTTCACAGCCTCTGAACATGCACTGCAGGACTTGTGCCCTGGTGACCAGCTCTGGGCAACTGACAGCGAGCAAGAGGGGCGAAGAAATCGACCGCTCTGAGTGTGTTATTCGTATGAACGATGCTCCCAGCCTCGGGTATCAGCAGGATGTCGGTCGGCGCGCAAGCCTGCGTGTTATAGCCCACTCCAGCCTGCAAAGGGTGCTGCGGAGCAGGCAGGAGCTCCTCAACATGAGCCAAGACACAGTGTTCATCTTCTGGGGACCGAGCAGTTGCATGAGACGTGATGGAAAAGGCCATGTTTACAACAACCTAAAGCTTTTAAACCAGCTGCTACCCAAACTTAAAATCTACATTATTTCCAGGATCAAGATGCTGAAGTTTGATGAACTATTTAAAAAGGAAACTGGGATTGACAGGTAAATATTCACATGATGAGCAAGTTTTATATTTTTGGGACTTGAATGAGACAAGATGGAGAGGTGAAAAGAAATCAAGAGACACACAACACACAAAAGAACTGTCAGTAGTGTTTATATTAGGGGAATATATTACAAAGATAGAAAGCACTAATTTCCTACCTATTGTTTTATGTACAGAATTCAGTACACAGCAGATATATGTTTGTCATAAGCAAAGGCAGGAGTAAGGGATTCATTATTCATTATTTTTTGTTTTGACGCATAAACGTAAACACAGTTTAAAGAATGCAAAAACAACAGGATGCACCAGACACTGATATTACCTTCGAGATGTAAAATGCAATTTGTGAACAAACTCCAAACCCTGATTGTGCAAACAGGATGTGATGGATATATGAGCTGAGCGAGAGGCTGCGATTTGGATGAGGCTTTAATGAAGAGCTGCAGCAGCTCCCAGACATGCCAGAACCCTTTGATACATGTGACTCAATCTTTGTAGATGTAACTACATGAGTGGCCGACACCTTTGCCAGCATTCGTGATCGTTTTGGCAATCTCCCCTCAGGACATCTGTGAGTCCTTATCTTGAGGCTATCATCATCATTCACTCACTGATCTGGAAACTGGAGAAAAAAAGTAATGCATGGGAAGAATCCATGCTACTAAACTGGCCAATCACAACCATTGTAGGCTGTGTTCATGTGACATGTAGTTACATTTCCAGGAAGCAGCACATCATTTCATCATCAGTGTAAGGTTTCAGAGGGATCTACAGATATAACATACCTCCAGTGTACATTTTATGCAAAGGTATAATTGTCCTATGGGAAAGCCTAACAGGTTTATGCAGCTGGTAGGCATCAGGAAGTGAAATGCTTGCACTGTAGTCCCAATCCTGCATCTCGAATAAAATTATCTTTAATATTGCATTAAAAAGTAATAACATTCTAAAGAAACAGCTCACAAAAGTCTCAGCTGGAAAAAAGAAAACATTTTATCATCAAAAATCTCAAGCTGGGTTACCAAAGAGGTATACACGTTCTTTGCTTTTATAGAGATTATGAAGCGGAGGCACGTTTCCTGACTTTTAATACATGGTAATTGTCTCTTTGCATACGCGGGACAGGCAAAGTGAAAATGGCTGAATGTGACCTTGCAAAAAAAGACAAAGGCAGACAAAGACACCTCACTGTCGTGAATGCAGCTATTCATCTAAACTCATTTGCATGTGAACAATAAGCCAACAGAATGAAAACTGAATGAAAAATGTTGCATTTGAATGGCAATCCAGTGACTTCTGCTCTCATGTAGCAATAGCCAGTGTCAGAATGAATGTTTTTATGTATTTATCTTTATTTTATTTTCTATTCTATTCTATTTCTTGCCCATGTATCAACTGTCACACAGTCAGCTACAGGGTTTCCTCTTCAGCGACTGATCAGATGAAATCTAAAAACTACGGTTTTACCATCTTTAATCTTTTCTGAACAGGCAGTAAGAAGGAAGTGCGCTCAGTATATTTTTGTGAAAATGGTAAGCTTCTCTTTTCTTCCAGGAAGAGTTCCAACTCCTGGTTGAGCACCGGCTGGTTTACTATGGCTATAGCCCTGGAGCTGTGTGATAGGATCAACGTCTATGGCATGGTGCCTCCTGATTTCTGCAGGTAGATTCCTGCAGTTTCTTTTTCTTCTCCAAATATTTATTAGCTTTGCTTCATTTTTTTTTAAACTTAGCATAATATGACTTGTAGATTTTTATTGATAAACCACCATGGCCAAAACATAGTTCCATGCAATTCAAATATTTTGGTTTTCAGTAATATTGTGTCAGTTTATAATTGGGTAAAAGGCCAGCAGGGTTTTCATTTGATGTTATAAAGTAAAGACCCCACCATTCTAAAATATGATATGTTTTTTAGTACCAAGATGTGTGATGGGAATTTTAATAGACTACAATGTAATTACTGAATAATAGAGCATTGAAAACCTATGATGAAATGACATATTATTATTGGCAATGTTTAATTTTACAGACGTACAGTTATTTAGTCTTGAAAATCTTAAATACATGAATGTTTCTCATATTTGTCAGATTTTACACAATATGGTTTCTCCACTATTTAGTCGGTTTATTACTACTAGGATAAACAAAAAACAAATGAAAAGAAGTCTGACGTTACAGGACTGCATTATTTCTTTGAGGACGAGCTCTTTTGGTCAGTCTGCATTAAATGTAAAGGTGTGTTAGAGTGGAGCTCTGTACCCGTCAGCGTCAGACAGCAGAGTTTGAAATGCCAGTTAAATAAATTAATAATCAGTTGATTGATAAGCAGATACAAAGCAGTGAGTTGGTTGTTCTCCTATTGCCAACTCGTTTCCCTTCACTATTGGGCTTTTGGTATGTTTTCTTTTTCTTCTTCTCCTTTTACCTTTTAAGATGTAGCCAGGGACCACATATTTAAATGATCCCAAGGCTAACTCTTGTGTCTTTACAGCAATGTTTATTAAAAAAAATATTTAGATAAGCTCCTTAATCATCTGAGCATTTTGCATTTTGCAGCATTTTGCTCTCCACCAACTCCCAAAAGAAATATCAATGTTCCACCATATTTAACATCTACTAACTAGCTTTGTCTGATGGGTGCAGTGGGTTTGGAGCTGCACAATGCAGCAGAAAACAAGACATACCAATCCGCCGAATGTTATTAGAATTAAATAATTGTACTGAGAAAGAGCGTGTCACACGTGCACGCACTTTTAACCCTTATTCACTGGTTTGTGAATGTTATTTTCTCCTTAGCATCGAGTTTTGTCTGTTAAAATATGCATTGAGATGCTTTATCCTCACGGCAGGTTCAGTTTGTCACTTCCTGTTTGAGCCAGTGGGCCAAATAGTGCATGAAGCGAATGGAACACTTCTTCTGTTTTGTGCTGCAGCCTCACTCTGTGATTTAGTGTGTGCCGACACCACTGATGTTTCCACATAAAATCGTGTCTAGTGCATCTTTAATGATGTCTTCCAACTTGGTAATATAGCATTTACTCCCTGCAGTGGACGACAGCACCACTGAAAACATCTTCACATTTTACAGTGAAACAGCGCTGCTGAAAATATACTGTACAGGTTTCACCATGTGTTTTTAGAATTTAAGAGACACTGGAAAATTTGCTGATTTTATTTTCTAAAATTTGGCCGCAAGGACAAGAGCACAAAGAACACTTTGAAAAATTCATGGCACTCTCACGTGTCACAGAAAGCTCCTCCACTGAGCTTTGTGTTAGCGTGAGTGTCAGATGAATAGGAGAGTGTATAATGAACATTTCTGTGAGTGCAGATTCTTCTGATCTTTCTGTTTTTCTTTGTTCCTTCTTCTCTTTATTCCCCTCTCCGACTTGTTTCTTTCCCCCTCCCCAACCATGAATCTCATAATTACACACTATTTCGACATCCCCCCTGTGCGCATTGGCTTTCATGCTATTTCATGGCTTCCTCCTCTCTCTTCTCGCCTGTGTAGATCCTCCTCCCATCCTACTGTACCATATCATTACTATGAGCCCTCGGGGCCCAACGAGTGCTCCATGTATCTTTCTCACGAGAGAAATCGGCGAGGAAGCCACCACCGTTTCATCACAGAGAAGGCGGTATTTGCAAACTGGGCTCGAACTCGTGACATCCACTTTTACCAGCCAGACTGGAAGCCCTCTCCCATCGTCACCACCGTGAATGGCTCGTACACTGCAAATCCAACCGGATCCTGAAATGCACCCCAGAGACGATCCCCAGAAATGTGAAATATGTGTGTGGATGGTTTTCAGCGTTCAGATTCCCTCTCTGGCCAGTATGAATACACAAGACAGCAGCAGGACAGAGCGAGCTGCTTGTGGCTGTTAGCCGACTGTCTAAGCAGCTTGGCAGAATGGGATCATTGCGTAACAGCAGCACAAAGCCTCAACAATGCTTTGGAAGTGTAACTCTAAAAGGATGAATTTCATACTGGAATCAAAGCCATGAGGGTTGTCTCAAGTGTGCTTTTTACACAAAATAGAGCCGCTTTAGTAACACTTGAGCTGTCAGAGAGGAAACAGGCAAAAGGAAAACAGTAAACACTGAAAAACTGGGTGCATGTCTCATCTATTCTATCAATTAAAATGGAATAAAGGATAGTAGTAGGCTAACAGACCACTTTACTGCTGGTGTTCACTGATGATTATGTCATGAAATGCCATGCTTACAACTGCTATTTTTTATGCACAGGTCCATTCACGCGTGGCGAAAAAAGAAGGGACTATATTCATCATTTTCATGAATAATAAACCTAGCTTTATGATCTGCCGGACCTCTTCCTGTCAGAGTTTGTTTCTGAGTGGTGAATGAAACTGTACTCAATGACACCTTGACTTTTTGCTATGATGGTCTGTCTCCATTGATAATGGCCCTCTCACCATTTTTGCAGCAACGCACTACTTTCTGCAGTACAAGACTGTTCAGCTGATTTTTACAGTGCGTTCCAACACTGCTAATATGCACACAGAGGGGGTTAACTCACAGCCCAGGATCCTCCAGCAGCCACCAGGCCCAGGCTCTTCCAGCAGCCACTAGGCCCAGGATCCTACTGCTCCACCAGGCCCAGGATCCTCCAGCAGCCACTGGGCCCAGGATCCTCTAGCAAGGCACCAACAAGTAAATCAACAGTGACAAGACGGTGAACGGAGCGAGCAAGACAACAAGCTCAATGGGGCCTAAGAGAACACCGAACGCCGATGAAATTGAGGACATCAAAAAGTCATTGGACTTTCTAACTGAGGAAACATCGGCTATCAAGCTACAACAGAAATATATCCTAGACTTAGTCGAGGAAATAAGGTCGCTACGTAACCAGAATGCAGAGAAGGAGAAACGGATCGTCTATCTGGAGAGTAGGGTCGCGGACCTGGAGCAATATACCAGAATGAACGACGTGATCATCACAGGGCTGTACATAAAACCCCGGTCATATGCTCGGGCTGTGACTGCTGGCAGTAAAGAGGAGCAAGGAGATCTGGATGGGAGCTCTGCGGAGCAACAAGTAGCTGGTTTCTTGCAGTCGAAAGGGATCGACCTGGACTGTAATAACATCGAGGCATGCCACCCCTTGCCCAGGAGAAATGCTAGTGATAAACCAGCTATCATCATAAGATTTGTAAACAGGAAACACAAGAATGCACTGCTGAAGCAGGGGAGGAAACTAAAAGGATCGAACGTCTACATGAATGACCATCTAACCAAATCCAATGCTGACATAGCGAAGAAAGCACGATACCTAAAGAAACTGGGTAAAATTCAGAACACCTGGACTGCAAACTGTAAAATATTTATAAAGCTCAACGGTACACCGGAGGAAGCCAAGGTGCTGGTCATCAAATGCATCCAGGATCTGGAAAAATATTAACAGGTCACTTGACTACAAAGGCAAGGAGCGGGACAAACAATCTACAGTCATCAAAGCAGGTAATAGAAGACAACAACGGAAGCTAAAGCGTAACGTATTCAAGGATGAAACAATCAATTAATTCATTATCTGGGAATTATACATTGCTACCACAAAGGATTGCTAATCAGGAGATAAATTCACCAGTAAACACGGAATACAAAACACACTTCACAGAGCAGGACATTGATCCAGAACTGAACTTTTTTAACATCAAAAATACCTGCTACTATCATACTGAAGAACAATTCAACAAAACTGTCAAGGTCGACGGCAAAATTTCTATAATCCACTTTAATAGTAGAAGTTTATATGCAAATTTTCACAAAATAAGGGAATATTTAAGCAAATTTACACATCCATTCAGTGTGATTGCAGTATCTGAAACATGGATTAATAAACAGAAAGGAGAGGACTTTGTAATAGATGGATATGAATTAAATCTTACAAATAGAAAGAATAAGAATGGCGGTGGTGTGGCCTTGTTTGTGGATAAAAATTTAAAATACAAGGTGGTAGAAAAAATGACGATGGCGGTAGATAATATATTAGAGTGTGTAACAATAGAAATTAGTATGGGAAAAGAGAAAAATGTCATTGTAAGCTGTATATATAGAACACCAGGTTCTAATATTGAAATTTTTAAGGAGTGGGTAGATAAAACATTTATTAGGACAAATCAAAAAGTCATGTTCATTTGTGGGGATTTTAACATAGATCTATTAAATCCAAACAAGCAGAGAGCGACAGAGGAATTTATTAATACAATGTATAGCTTGGGACTTTTTCCAGTGATCACTAAGCCCAGCAGGATTACAGCACAGTCGGCAACCCTAATAGACAATATATTTACTAATGAAATAGAAAATAGAACCATAAGTGGTCTCCTAATTAATGACATCAGTGATCATCTACCTGTTTTTATAGTGTATAACAGCAATTACAGGAAGGTTAAACAGCAAAACACAATAAAATACAAACGAGTGAGAACAGAAGAGTCAATAAACGCATTCAAAAGTGATTTACTCAAGCAAGAATGGGAGATGCTGTATAAGGAAAAAAATATTGATAAAGCTTATGAGATTTTTTTAGGAAAATTTAAACTGTTATATAATAGTCATTGCCCAGTAAAGAAATATAGTAAAAAACAAAAATATGCAGAGTGCCCATGGATTACAAAAGGATTGCAAAATGCATGTAAGAAGAAAAATGCCTTATACAGAGAATTTATAATGAACAGAAGTACAGAAGCTGAAAATAAATACAAGAAATATAAAAATAAATTAACGAGTATTTTAAGGTCATGTAAAAAGGAATACTATGAAAAATTACTGATTATGAATAAAAATAATATTAAAGGGATTTGGAAAACATTAAATACCATCATCAAAAAGGGCTCGGGGCAGGCAGACTATCCTTCGTATTTCACAAATAATGATAGAAACATTACTAATATGAGCGATGTGGTAAATGATTTCAACAAATTCTTTGTAAGTGTTGGGCCAGACTTGGCTGAAACAATTCCTGATATAACAGATTCTGTAGAGAAAGAAACTAGACTCATTGACCGCAATCCTCATTCAATGTTCTTAACGGTGGTGGAAGAAATGGAAATCATTGATATTGTTGGGAAATCACAAACAAAAAACTCTACAGACTCTGACGACATTGATATGGAAATCGTTAAGAGAGTGATAGAGGGCATTTCCAAACCCTTAACACACATTTGCAATTTGTCCTTACAAACTGGTACATTCCCAAAACAAATGAAAACAGCTAAAGTAACACCACTGTTTAAAAATGGTGACAGACACCAATTCACAAATTATAGGCCTGTCTCTCTACTTTCTCAATTTTCAAAAATACTGGAAAAAGTCTTTAGTAATAGACTTGACAAATTTATAGATAAACACAAAATAATAATGGATAGTCAGTATGGTTTCAGATCAAATAGATCAACATCATTGGCATTAATGGAACTGATCGAAAATATCACCAACAATATAGATAAAAGACAATGTATAGTTAGTGTATTCATTGACCTAAAAAAAGCTTTTGACACAATTAATCATGACATATTACTTGATAAACTGGAGTACTACGGCATTAGAGGAGTGGTGTTAGAATGGGTAAAGAGTTATTTGAGAGACAGGCAGCAATTTGTGAAAATTGGGGAATATCAATCAGAGTGTATGGACATTGTTTGTGGAGTTCCGCAGGGGTCAGTATTGGGACCAAAGCTGTTTATCCTCTATATCAATGATATATGCAGAACATCAGATATACTACAGTTTATTCTATTTGCAGATGATACAAATATTTTTTGTACTGGAGAGAACTTACAGCAGCTTTTGGAAATTGTCACACAAGAAATGATTAAACTGAAAACATGGTTTGATAGAAATAAGCTATCATTAAATTTGGAAAAAACTACATTTATGTTATTCGGAAATTGTAAAAAAGATGCAGGAGCAAAATGATTAGTAAACAATGTTGAAATAGAGCAAGTTTCAGATACAAAATTTCTGGGTGTGATAATAGATAACAAAATCTGCTGGAAACCTCACATAAAGCATATACAAGCCAAACTGTCAAGAAGCATCTCCGTACTAAGTAAAGTTAAATATTTTTTGCCTTCCAAATCACTCCGGGTACTTTATTGTTCACTTATATTGCCATATTTGGAATACTGTGTGGAAATTTGGGGAAACACATATAAAACTGCACTTCAACCAATATGTAAAATTAAAAAAAAAGCAATCAGGATGATTAATAAAGCAGGATTTAGAGACCATACTAACATCATGTTTTTGAAATTAAAAATACTGAAGTTTATGGATCTTATAAAATATAAAACTGCAAAAATTATGTACAAGGCCAGATACAATATGTTACCAGGAAATATACAGAGGATGTTCTATGACAGAGAAGGAGACTATGAATTGAGGGGGAAATTGAATCTAAGGATTCTTAAAGCACGGTCAAAGGTTAAAACCTTTTGTGTCACTATTTATGGGGTAAAACTGTGGAATAGTTTTACTATAGATCTACAGCAATGCTCAGGAATTAGTAAGTTCATGAAAATACTTCGAAAACTGATTTTGGAAGAATATGATACCGATAAAGATGATCACCCATTGTATGTATAAAAATATCAAATTATATCCAAATTATATCAGTCACGGTAGCCAAGTTTATATAGGTTCTCCTTGTGTATCGTGTGGAGTATGTGATGATGGGAATTAGGTGAATTATGTGGGATCAATAAGATGTTGAGCAGGGGTAGGAATTAATAAGTATGTTCATACTTCTTCCTACTCCTTTTCAGACCAAACATTGTTACATTATGTCAGATGATTTTGTTTTATTTCATTATATATTTTTTGTTTATCTGAACACATACGTGTGTGTGTGTGTGTATATCTACATATATATTCGTATCTGTAAATGAAAATATATGTAGTGTGTATATATTGTTTTTTGTTTTATATGTCTGAAATAAATAAAGATACAATACAATACAATTTTCGACTAAAGTGATTGGAATTCATGAGACACTTCACTCACAAGCACAAATGTCAGCTTCATGGTGGATGTAAAAGCGTATCCTCTTGGGATATAAATGTCTGTGACAAATTTCATGGGAATTTATCCGATAGGTGCAGCCTGAATGAAAGTGGAGGACCAACCAAGTGACAATGCACGGCTGGACTGAATCTTTACATTACTGGGTTGG